GCCTCGGCCTCCCAAAGTGCTGGGATTACAGGCTTGAGCCACCGCGCCCGGCCTGGAACTCACTTTTAATTGTGCCTCCTGCATTGTGCCTGGTGGCTTCCTTATCTGGGGGATCCAACCCTTCTCCTCACGCTCCGGCCACTCCACCAGCATGCCCTGTCGGCGCTGCCATCCAAATGCATCGCTCCAAAAGGTAGGCAATCTAAAGCCTCACCATTGCCGACACCTCCTGCCTCCACCGGGATCTACTGCCCCAACCCCCAGCCCCTCCCCGAGGCCCGCCACCTCTGGCCTCTCAGGGGAAGCCTGACCTATACCCGCTCACCACTTTCCATGGTCAGCCACAGAGGACCCCTGCGGCTCCTCACAAAGAAGTCAGTCTGTGACCCAGGGCATCTGTGCTGCTGCCCTTTCCAGCCGCATGCCTCCCCTCCGGACTGCCCACTTGTGTCATCAAGGTCCCTGCCCTGAGTGTCACTGCCCCTGGGCAGCTGACCTGGCCCACACCACTTCCTTCCACACCATTGCCTCCTCACCCTGCTTTATGAAGTTTTCCTGACCCTTCTTGTTGCCCTAAATGAAATATGGTGACTTAGCTGGCATCCCCACGGGACTCTGGCCTTGTGCCCTAGGGTGTCCCAGCTCCTCACAAATACTGGCACACAGAGGACATTCCTTCCTTGAATGGGTGAATGCCACTGGACAGCCTCAAAGTCAGCAACGACACTGGGAGGCCATCGCAGAGGGGATCGGATGGGACCTTGGTCTAGGGGTCCTTGAAGGTTCTTCACAAACCTCAGCTTCTACGACTCTAAAAGCAATTCAAACAGAACTGTGCTGTGCACGCCTGGAGGTCCCCACACCTCCCCCGTTAAAATGACCAACACTTGAGAGGACAGCTCTTGTGACTGCCAAAAGAGAAAGGCACATCCTCAACATGAAAACCACTCGCCCCACTCTGCTCCCACGGGGGGTGCAACACACCCCACACCACCCAGACCGGAGAGGGAGGCTGGCTGACTCTGGAGAGGCTGCTCTGCGGCCCAAGTCAGCAAGAGGCCGCGGCTATGCAGAAGGAACAGTGCGTTGGTGGCCACTGCCCAACGTGGGCAGTTCCCAGGACTCCACGGTCTCTCAGTCACTGTGACCAAAATTACCAGATCCAACGGTTGCACGTGCAGGTGTGACTTTCTGGGCACCTGAGTGATGGAGACAGAGAGAAGCCCAAGAGTCTGTGGGTGCAAATACACCACAGGCAAGAGCAGGCTGGGCCACCGAACTGGGCCAGGATGGCCTGAGAATCCTCAGGCAGGACAAGGATCCCAATTATTCACATTTCCTGTTTCCTTCTGTCAACCCCGTGAGAGACGCGCCCCCGCCAGAGAGATATGTGTTCCCCCTCCTTATGCAGCTGAGAAAACAACCGGACGTCCTGGTGCTGCCTTCTAGAACATATCTTTAGGTATCCCAAAGCCTGGTGGCCTGAGGTTTGCTCAGCAGCAGGTGGCCGCCTCTCCCTGGAGCCCTTTAGTACGGAAGTCCCAGCACAACCCTGGAGTCCAGCTTCCCTGCTAGCAGGATCCAGGTCACCAGAGGCCGTCCAGGGGTCTCCGACAGCCTGCGGGAGGGCGGGCCGGGATGCAGCAGTCACGAAAACTCCTCCGCTGGTAGGGCGGGGGAGTTCCTGGGGGAGCCGGCCCCGCCTCTAAGCCGGCACACGCAGGCACCTGCTTCCAGCATGGCAGTCACTCAGAGAACTGCCCCCACCGGGGTGACAACCAAGGGCCCTGCTCGCTTCTGCCCGCGCAGCCAGCTAGGCCTTCTGAGGGGGCTCCGCTTTCTCCGCGTTAAACCACCCCGACCCCCCATGGCCACTAGGGAAAGTAAACGAGGTCTCAGCCCGACCCCAGATCCCCTCCCCTAAGTGTCCACCTTTGCCTAGGACCCCTCGAGCGTCAGGCCGGCCTTCTCCACCTGCGCCCCCGCCGGGCCTACCTGCCTTGCGCAGCAGGCCGATCTGTGAGCCGTTGAGGGCCATGTAGTCGCAGTCGGTGACGACCCGCACTCGCACCCCGCGCTGGTGCAGCAGCCGGACGGCGCGGCCCAGCTGCGGGCTGGAGAAGGCGAACAGGCAGAGCTCCAGGCTGACGCGGGCGGCCAGCAGGGCGCGCATTAGGCGGCTCAGCGAGCTCTCGCCGTGAGGCAGGCCGCACAGGCAGCAGTCGGGGAGCGCGGCCTGCTCCCCGGCCGGCGCCCCGCCCCGCGCCCTCAGCAGAGCCTCGGTGCAGGTCACCTGCGACGGGAAGAACAGCACCTCGCGCCGCAGCCGCCGCCTCCCGGACCGCAGCCAGCGCAGCACCCAGGGGAGCACCTCCAGGGCCAGCGCCAGGCCCACGGCCGCCGTAGCCGCCGCCCGCCAGCGCAACCGCCCCATGCCGCCGCTGCCCTGGCCGCCGCCGAGCCTGCGCGCCCCCAGCCCCAGACCACCACGCGCCAGACCACGCCCCCGCCACGCGCCGCCAACAGCCTCGTGCAAAGCCACGCCCCCAGCCCCTCGAAGGCCACGTGCCAGGCCACGCCCCCGTCACGCGCCGCCAACGGCCAAGTGCGAGGCCACGCCCCCAGCCTCCTAAGTACCTGTGCCAGGCGGCGCCATTCCCCGACAACTGACACTCACCAAGCTGAGCCCACCCCCTCCCACCAGTCCGTCCCTAGTCCCCAAGGGGTGGCCTCACCTCCCTGACGCGCCAGACCACTGCCCCCTCCCCCCTAACGCGCTGCCAACACCAGGCCGCGCCCCCTATTTTCCCTCCAGCCAGGCCCCCGGCCACGCCCCCAAGTCCCACCTCCCGCTATGCACCAAGCCGCGCCCCCTCACCCGGCACCTCATGCACACTTGGGGGCCACGGGCCCTCGCTGCACCGCTCACATGCCCAGGCCAGAGACCCCCCGCCCCCGGCCGCCCCGGAAGCCTCAGCAACCCAGGCTTTCCTCGTGTGAAGCACAGCAGAGCTGCTCGGGAAATGTGGACATCTTCACTGTCCCCTGGGGCTGGGGAAGGAGCTGGAAACACAGATATCAGGGAATCCGCACAGCTGGAGGCAGCACTGGAACCCAGCCTGCTGGAGGCGGTGGGGTAGTGGGGATGCCCAAGCCCAGAGTTAGGCCCCTATAGGTTTTTTTTTCCCAGCCCAACTGTAGGGCTGTTGGCCCCACAGGGTTGTGAGATGTCCCTTATGCTGTGCTGAGGTGCAGGATCTGAGCAGTAAAGAGACAGGACACTGGAGAACTGGGAGAAGAGCAGCTGGGCTAGGGCTGGGGGCACGCCACCTATGAGCAGAGACAGGCGAGTCCCCAACGCCCAGAAGCATCTGCATTTTTTAGGTACAAGCAGGGGGAAGGGTCATAAGTGAGGTCATCATCTATAGGCTTAGTGATAGGGCATACATAATCACGTGAGTAACAAGCGAGGGGGCCACCCCATTATGTCACCTGGGCAGAGAGGTGGGCTGTGCGCAGTAGGGGGCTGTTCTGGTGCAGTAGTAGAGGGTCGTGTACAGAAAAGGGGTCCACCCTCATTAGGTCACCGAGGCAAAGAGGTGGGCTGTGTGCAATATCTTATCTGGGGCTGGAAACATCAAAGGATTTCTGATAGAAGGATACAGCAAACCAATGCAGTGGGAGCTGACAGACTTGTGCTCTTATTTATGGGAGGCTGATTTGAGCTAGCACAGAAGTGAGAAAAGACTGACAGGGTGTACAGCCGCCTTGACCTGGTCACACCAGAGGGGTTCTTCTCCCTCCGTTCTTTGCAGGATCTCAGGCCTGAGGCCTACTTTCCACAGGAACTGGATGCAAGGTACTACAACTCCTTTTTCAGGAGAGCCTCCTGCTCCAAATCTGCCATACAGTGTATGCCCTTTCAGGCAAAGATGCCACCGCCTGGGTCTCCAGTTCTCGTCCTGGTCTGGCTGTTTTCCCATGTACTGCTTCTGTTCTGTGACTGCTCTAGGCATTCCTCCTACTACAAACTACTATATGGTTTTATGGAAGGATTCTATAAATCAGCACTAAATGTGTCAGTACAGCTCCGACTACAATACCTATATGATTATAAAGATTATATGGAACTAAGTATGATTTTATATATATAAGCTACATATAGTAAGCAGTAAGTTATATGATTATATAGAAAGATCATCTGGGACCTAGTATGATTTTATATGTAAGCTAGATATAAGTAAGCAGAGTTATACTTCAGGCACTAATTGTGCTTGGGGTCTGCACAGTTCTCCTTCCTCGGTGCCCCTGGGGGGTGTTACCCACACCCAACTGGATCTCCGATGTTGTTGGAAGGAGGCTGCCCTGCTTTAAGCATAAACGGAGGGGAGACTAAGGCAGCTGAGGGCTTAGTGAGCACTGAGCCGGGGGCAAAGGGAAAACGGGGCAATATGGTGTTCTGGGCCAGATCCTGGAACAGAAAGAAGGCATTCACAGAAAACCTGGTGAGATCCAAATGAAGTCTGGAGCTTAATCACTTTGTACCAATGTCAGTTTCTTAGCTTTGACAAACGTGTGAAAGGAATGTAAAAGGCTAACAATAAAGGAAGCTGGATGGGGGTAAATGGAACTCTGTTCTATCTTCGAAACTTTTCTGAAAATCTAAAATTATTCTAAATTAAAAATGTATTAAAATATTAAACTTGCACCTTCCGCATGATCTAGGTATCCCACTCCCAGGAGAAAGGATGGATCCATTCACACAGGCATGCGTACACTAGTGTTCACGGCAGGCATACGTGCAATCACCCACACCTGGAAACAACCCAAACGTGTGTCAGCAGGTAACAGGTAAGCAAACTTTTGTATATCTATACAAGGGAATGCTATTTAGCAATAAAATAGAATGAAGTGGCCGGGCACAGCAGCTGACACCTGTAATCCCAGGGCTTTGGGAGGATAGCTTGAGTTCAGGAGTTTGAAACCAGCCTGGCCAACACGGTGAAACACCGTTTCTACCAAAAAATATGAAAATTATGGCCGGGCGTGGTGGCTCAAGCCTATAATCCCAGCACTTTGGGAGGCCGAGGCGGGTGGATCACGAGGTCAAGAGATCGAGACCATCCTGGTCAACATGGTGAAACCCCGTCTCTACTAAAAATACAAAAAATCAGCTGGGCATGGTGGCGTGTGCCTGTAATCCCAGCTACTCAGGAGGC